GCTTACCTTGAATATACGACTATGCACAATATTATATTTCATACTTTGCATACACCACTATCAGGGACGTTTATATCATATATATAGAACCACTTTTTACCATTTATATCACATAATGTGAAAATAATACACCACTACCCACTCTCTGTGTCACATGTCTTGAATACACCACTACCCATCCTCTATGTCACATGCCTTGAATACATCACTACCCACCCTCTATGTCACATGTCTTGAATACATCACTACACACCGTCTATGTCACATGTCTTGAATACACCACTACCCGCCCTCTATGTCACATGTCTTGAATACATCACTACCCACCCTCTATGTCACATGCCTTGAATACATCACTACACACCGTCTATGTCACATGTCTTGAATACATCACTACCCACCATCTATGTCACATGTCTTGAATACATCACTACCCACCCTCTATGTCACATGTCTTGAATACATCACTACCCACCCTCTATGTCACATGTCTTGAATACATCACTACCCACCCTCTATGTCACATGTCTTGAATACATCACTACCCACCCTCTATGTCACATGCCTTGAATACATCACTACACACCCTCTATGTCACATGCCTTGAATACATCACTACCCACCCTCTATGTCACATGTCTTGAATACATCACTACCCACCCTCTATGTCACATGCCTTGAATACATCACTACCCACCTATATGTCACATGTCTTGAATACATCACTACCCACCTTCTGTCACATGTCTTGAATACATCACTACCCACCCTCTATGTCACATGTCTTGAATACATCACTACCCGCCCTCTATGTCACATGTCTTGAATACATCACTACCCACCATCTATGTCACATGCCTTGAATACACCACTACCCGCTCTCTATGTCACATGCCTTGAATACATCACTACACACCGTCTATGTCACATGCCTTGAATACACCACTACCCGCCTTCTATATCACATGCCTTGAATACACCCTTATTCGTCACACATCGCATAATTGGAGTACACCACTTATAACACATACTATGTAATTTATCGGCTTTATTCTATAGCTTGAATACACCACTACCCGCCCTCTATATCACATGCCTTGAATATACCCTTATTCGTCACACATCGCATAGTTGGAGTACACCACTTATAACACATACTATGTACTTTATCGGCTTTATTCTATAGCTTGAATACACCACTACCCGCCCTCTATGTCACATGACTTGAATACACCACTATCCAGGACTTATATATTGCATACCTTGAATACATAGCGTTAGTCTGCTTCTAAAGAAACACTGAATAAATGTGTTAATATGAATACACGCGCTATCATAGGATAATTGCATGCTAATTATATTTACATAAAGCATCTTGTCCTGAGATGTCCATAGTATCTTGGTTTTGTTAAATTCAAAGTATCTTGTCTTGATTAAGGTCTAACGTAATTTGTTCTGATTAAGCCAAAAGAATTTTATCCAAAGTAATTTATTCTGATTATTGTAATAAATATCTTGTCCCGATCACTGTCTGAGGAATCCCGCCCCTTTGTAATTACTGTTCAAAAAAGCTTGTTTTTAATATTCCGAAGTATTTTTTCCTGATTTAATCCAAAATATTGTATCCAAATCAATCTCCAAAGTTTCTTGTCCTGGCCAATGTCCGACGAATTATCAATTGATTAATGTTCATGTATCATGTCTTGTTTAGGTTCAAACTATCTTGTCCCGATTAAAGTTCAAAGCATCTCATCTTGATCAATAACAAAAATATCCTGTTCTTGCCCAGATCAATGTCTACTAACAGTTAAATATTTCTCGAAATTCTTGCTCTAATATTGCCATAATTAATCAACAAATACTTCTTCTGGTAATATAATTTGCTTCCTGTGTTCTATGCAAATTGATCTGCCAATATATATGCATGTATAGTTCACTCATACCTTGAATGTCCTATGGTTTACTACTATAACTTAAATATTGGTTGTTCTTAATTTTTTTTGCATGGATTGTACTCTATTTGGACAACAGGGGTGGCTGGAGGTATACCTTTATTACTCTTTTCAACGTGTAGTTCGTCTAGTTATATTGTATTTCGTATCCCTAACAAATGTTATCCCGTAAGACTATGAGTTGATATGCTATTCTCGTCTGTCTTACGAAGTATGAGAAACGCACTGTTCTGCGTACTTATGTATGTATGGTCTGTCTGAGGGTCGGCAATGTGGAAGACCTTGAAAATACATGGATAATACATTGATTTGACACTTAACTGTCATGGAAAACCGTTTATACCATGGTTGCACCAATCGCGTTTAGGTTTACCACAATGCCCCCATTTCTTACATGTCGAGACAAGACATCGTTAAGTACGTGGTATCGTGACGTGAGGGCGTGCTTCATTTCTAGACCCGCGAACCAAATGACAATCCCCGCTTATAGTTTCACAAAATTTGACTGTGTTTTATCATTTACTAATTGGCTATTGTCACTATTCGAGTGTCGGGAATGTTCTGTAAATGTGTTCGCAGTCATTAGAAATTCAGCACCGCCCTCTGCCCTCTATATCCGGGTAATCCACGTCGATCAGTAATCGTCACGTGATAGTGGTAATGTTGTACATTGTGCTAATATGTAATGATATTTTTACTTTAGTATTTCCATATTAAAACTAACATAGCTTGTCTGCGAAGAAACACTAAACATTATATCTCTGAGGTATATCCTAACAAGTACCATTTTAAATTCAATGTTAAAACAGCCATATCTAGTAGCATTCTGATAAATCGTGCAAATGTCTAATTTTTACGCTCAATCAGCCAACAAAATAAAATCCTTCATAGGCGTTTTCAATTTCGGTAGGCGGTGGACAACGCCTCTATCGGTAGGCGGTGGACAACGCCTCTATCGGTAGGCGGTGGACAACGCCTCTATCGGTAGGCGGTGGACAACGCCTCTATCGGTAGGCGGTGGACAACGCCTCTATCGGTAGGCGGTGGACAACGTCTCTAACTGCATACAACTACGAAAGTTTAAGGTGTTTAAAGACGCTTTCTGGGGGAGTAAACGGGCGTGTATTGGTGTTTGCAGCACTGATTTTTCAAAAGGAGTAAAAGGTGTGTCATGCTACATTTGATCTTGATTATTTTCGACCTTTGGGAGACGGCCACGATTGGCTACGGATTCTCTATCTACAGACTGCAAACCATAACACCAAATACACTAAACAGAAATCCATATTTCATTGAATTTTGCATGATTTAATCGAAATCGATACATTAGCTCCAATATGCATTTAACACCAACTGAATGACATCTTGAGCAATATTAGTAATATTTTCTGAATTTGAGATGTCATCATACCAGTGAATGATACGCACAGCCTAAAATAGCAGATGGAATGTATTTCCCTTGCACGTAGCATGTTGCATGAATCAACAATACCTGCAAAGGAAATATTTCAGTAAGTTAAAATGGCGCCCGCTATGCGATATTCGCTTCAACAGTAACTCAACCAGTTGAGTAACCAACCATATCAATTGCAAAGAAAATAACTCAAACGAATTTCTTTGAATAGACCTTCAATTGTAATACACTTCCATGTATTTATCGTTGATTCTGCACCCATAACATGTTCTAATGACGAACTTAACCATTGTCTACCCATTTCAAAAGTCTGTGCAATTCTAAATTGTTTCTATTACTCATGTTTACAGTCCATGTCCAGGAAATTATACCTGTCTTAAAGACATCGATGGCAATCCAAACTACGGCTACACCAGCTTCGATAATTTTGCTTGGGCGATGCTGACTTCATTTCAGCTTATCACCCTAGACTACTGGGAGAATGTTTATGATTATGTAAGTACATATCACATCCACAGAACACCATATCACTTTGGAAATATCAATAGTATACCACATAACATAAGAACATCGTCTATGTGTACATACTGCATATTATTAAGCACATCGTCTATGTGTACATACCACATAACTTACGTACATCGTCTATGTAGACATAACTTACGTACATCGTTTATGTAGACATAACGTAAGAACATCGTCTATGTATACATACTGCATAAGCAGCTTGTTTTTGTGTACATACCACATAACATAAGAACATTGTCTATGTAGACATAACGTAAGTGTATCGTCTATGTGTACATACTGCATAAGCACCTTGTCTTTGTGTACATACCACATAACATAAGAACATCGTATATGTAGACATAACGTAAGTACATCGTCTATGTATACATACTGCATAAGCACATTGTCTTTGTGTACATACCACATAACATAGGAACATCGTCTATGTAGACATAACGTAAGTACATCGTCTATGTATACATACCACATAACTTACGTACATCGTCTATGTAGACATAACGTAAGAACATCGTCTATGTATACATACTGCATAATCACATTGTCTTTGTGGACATACCACATAACATAAGAACATCGTCTATGTAGACATAACGT